CCTTTCTTTTAAATGAATGAAGTCGACGTCTTCGATTTGGGTCTAATTAAAAGCTGTATCGCTCTTGCCACGCTAAATTGATGTTGAGGTTTTACTAAAATGGTAAAAAGGGTCGAAACCGTTCACGATTGACGTTCAGCTACCAATGATTACAACGATATGATATTTACCGCGAAATAGGATTCAAGTTTTTTTCTTCCCGTCGGGCAAATATGAAAGCGATCAAAACCCAGGGCAAATCCAACCCAAGTTAACCCAAGCTATTTCCCCATGGAGAGCCTTGGGGAAGACGTCCAGTGTGAACGCACCTATTCATTAATCCAGAAGCATGTATGCTTCTGATTGGATGTTACATGTATTTGACGGCCTAAATTAGCCAGAATTCCTGATATTCATTCGAGTCGCATAATTAGCTGAGCGGACATGCGACTCTATTAACTGATTAAGGAATGTCTGAAATTCAGGCAAGGCCTAAATATTTTTCATCACTTCTTGTAGGAAGCAGGAAGATTGAGAAGAACTCTTTATTACTAATCTCATTCAATGGTAGTGTTTTCTACAGGTTAAAGAGACTTGAAAGGGTTTCCCAATCCCGCATCCCGCCACCAGCTTTCTCCCTGCGCATGTCACCCCTATCCCGGATCCCGATTCCAAAACCCTTGTTTTTCTTGTCAAGTCACTTTTTTGCTTCTATTTATTTATTTATTTCTTCTATTTTCTAATTAGAAGTTTTAAAGGGTTAGCTGTAGTCAGCAGTTAGCCGTTTAAGGACCTGTTATTTTTGTTTCTGAGGAAGGGGAAGTGGACCTACCCACTCGTCCCTTAGGAAACATGTGTTGTTTTAGTCTGCGCAGCCCACAGTACGCATGTACGTGTCGAAAGTGTTTTCTCTTCCGGTGAGTCTCACTACAGAAATTTGACTGCAAGATCGAAGATGAGTTCTTCTTTGGGTGTCGTTCTCGGTGGGATTTTTGCTCTTGTTGTTGCCGGATATATAGCTCAAAGTCGTCTTCCTCCGCCAAAACCAAAAATTATGGGAATAGACCTAGGGACGACGTTTTCATGTGTTGGTGTTTATCAAGCTGTAACAGGCCATGTTGACATCCTGGCCAACGAGAACGGCAGCAAAGTTATTCCCAGCGTTGTAGCCTTTACCGATAATGGAGTTTTAGTTGGTAACAGAGCCTTGGCTCAAGCTGAATTGAATCCTAGATCAACTATTTATGACGCAAAACGTTTCATTGGGAAGAAGTTCTCGAAAGATGATTTACGAAAACTGTCTTCACTCTACCAGTTCAAGATCACTTCTGATGAAAAAGACAATCCTAAGTTCGTGATCGAAAGCCATGGAAACCAGACTTTAGTATCACCTGAAGAGATCGGTGCTGCTATATTAAGGGAATTGAAAAGGACAGTTGAGAAAAATATCAGTAGATCTGTTAACCAAGCGGTTATGTCGGTTCCTGCTGAATTCAACATGGCCCAGAGAAATGCCACTGTTAAGGCTGCTTCTCTCGCGGGGATCAACGTTGTCCGTGTTATAAACGAACCAACAGCGGCAGCCATGGCTTATGGCCTTCATAAGAAGGCAGGAGTCGCCAATGTTATGGTAGTGGATCTAGGTGGTGGTACATTAGATGTTTCCCTACTGAATATCCAAGGTGGAATGTTTGTTACCATGGCTATGGCTGGTAATAATAGACTGGGAGGGCAAGATTTCAATGTCAGACTTATGTCTTATTTAATGGCAGTGATAAAAGAGAGATTTGGACAAGACCTGACAAATGCTGAAGACATCCAGCGTCTGAGGCAAGAAGTTGAATCAACTAAAGTCAACTTGACATCACAGGACTGGGTCATAGTCCGATTACCCTTACGTTCCCTAAATCAAGGGAAGAAACTTGCGATATTCGAGGAGAAGGTTTCAAGATTAACTTTTGAAAAGTTAAATGAAGATTTGTTTCAAAAAGTTCTACAACCCATTGAAAGAGTATTGAGCGAAGTTGAACTTCCAAAGGAGTATGTTGATGAAGTGGTATTAGTTGGTGGGTCTACAAGGGTTCCTAGAGTGCGGCAACTCATCAAGGAATATTTCAATGGAAAGGCTCCAAATGTATCTATAGACCCTGAGCTTGCAGTGGCGACAGGAGTTGCTATACAGGCAGGCATTATTGGGGGAATGTGGCCACTCCAGGTGTCAGCTCTAGAACTGCCTAATCACGACTTAAAGAAGATCCAAATAGATTCTTAACTTATTTCATGTTTTATTTTCAACTCCAAAGACGACGGAGACAGCAACAAGAATGCGAAAAAAGCAATAGGTTTAGATCAGCAAAACAACAACAACATTGCACGTGCATCATGCTTTTTTTACATTTCTTTACCATTGTTGCACGACTACAACATGAAATTGCTTAACGCCACATCTTGTGGAGGACATGAATGCCAGACAACGACTTCCTCTTTCTTTTTCTGAACTGAGATACAGTCCTGTAGATTTCAACTCCCAAAAAATTTGCCAACATTTGACGAATTGAAGTTTTAAACAGCTGAATTTTAAGTGCCATTTTCACAGGCATTGCCGTCATTGTTGCTCATGCTCCTTATTCACAACATGGACACAACACGGTAACACAAATGATCTTATTTATCTTGTTTATTAGTGACATAAGCTGTGCTTATGCAAGAAGATCCCTGGAGGATACACTCTATGACAAGGGTAGGGGAATTTGTCATTTAGGTATTTTAAATACCTAAGCAAAGGGCCTTAAACTAAAATAGTTCAAAGTGATGCACCTTATGGCTGCATCCAATATAGTATTTATTAAATGCAACAAAAATGACAAGAACACTTACTGTCAGTTGTTTATTGCTAGTTTTCACTGTCATGCCATCAAAAATAAGAATTAAAACCTTCTAATAGATATAAAAAAGGAAGAACCCCTTTCAAAGTGAGAATTTTACAAATAAAATATTAGTTTTTAGCTGCTCTTATACTTGATGCAGGTAAAAACTCAGGAGGATCAATAACTCCATGGTTTGAGAAGGGGACATTGCCTTTTTTGTAAGAAGGTATAAAAAGGGGTACCTTGTCTGTCAAGATTGGTGTATAAGAGGGTATGCGGTTGGACCTCAGGGTAGAGCCTCCTCATTTAAAATGTTGAGTAGCCCACCAGAATGCAGATAAACTTTATAAGTTAAGGTGGGTGTGGAATTAGTGACTCTATCTGCAATATTTCTTTGCAATGCTGCAAAGATGCATGTAGGGAATAATATTTTCTCAGAGCTGAGGGGATAAACTAAATTCCTTTATTTATCTCTTTTCTTCTCCTTTGTTAGCAGTAGATGGGAAAACCAATATTGCTTTGAAAAATGTTTTTTGACCCTTAGGTATTTTTATAAGAACCAGCATTTAAAGGTACTAAGTCATGCTATCTTTCCAATAAAACTAAAACTATTTTCTCATCTTTTGAATTCGAAAAATTGTGGTCCAACTTTTTCACGTTTTGACATGCCTGCAAAAATCCCTCCAAAAATCATTATGATAAATGTGTACAGACACCCCCTCCCCTTTTCCATTTTTTTCACTGAGGGGAGGGGGCATCTGTACACAGGCTACATGAGTATTTTGTGAGTAAGTAAAGGCAGTAAGTAATGACTTCAGAACAGAATTGACCTACAACAATGACATCTTCATGGCATAGCCTGGTTCAGTATGGTATGGTTTTGTGTGCATGTCCTCTTGCTGTTGCTGAGTACCCCCTCCCCCAGAGGGGAAGAAAATCTCTCAGTTTTGAGATCTCTAATACTCAGAATTAAACAAAAAAACTGAGTGTTGAAGATTAGGATTTACATCCATGCACAAGAAGTGTCACTGTTGTTTTATTTCATAAGAAAGACAAAAGGCAAAATATGCAGTATTTTGTTTTATTTTTATTGTACGAAAAAGATAAAATCAAAATGTAAAATCAACATTTTAAAAATAGTTTTTGTTCTTCAGTAAATAACATAAACACAATATTGACAAGCAATAAGTTATACAGTCACCTCTTCATATGACATACACATTTGTTCACCGAATAAAGAGTGAAAGAAGATGATTGAAACATGGCAGGGACCAACTCTAGGTGTTTGTCTTGAAAAGAGTTCAAGAAAATGTCTACAAAATGGCAGGAACCAACTTTAGGTGTCTTTTTCAGAGAGACGTCCTTCTTGTAGTGTTGTGTGTCACAAGAGAGAGTTGATTGTATACCAAACAGAAGCAGTAAATAGGGCGAAAAACCCATTGTGAGGTGACAACCGCATGCTAGATTAAAATATAATTAAATCAAAATACTACTAGCCTGTTCCAGGAGTTCACTATCTGAACGTCTGGAACAAGCTAAAAGACTGCCAACAAAGGTCTACCAGAGGAATAATGTAAAATTGTCATTGTATATTTTATGGTATTTATAATATTAGTAACTGGTTAATACATCTAAATAACCTACATTATAAATAATGAGTTTTAGATTTATACAACTTGTCCTAATGATTACATAACTAAAAGAGAGGTGAACAAACGTAACTTATTTTGTGTGTTACGAGAACTGATTATGAAATCAAAATAAAATAAATTGTTACGTTTTACTTGGAAAAACCTCTTTTTTCTTTTTCCTACATTGCTGCTACAAAATTAATGCAAATTAACATAATAGGTAGATCACCAATACTCAAGATTTCCATGAAGTCCGGTTCCCCTTTGTATATTTCTCTCCCCAAAACAAAAGAAAGCTCTGTGCACCTCTGAATTCTAAGCACCAAACTCCATCAGGGGTTAATACCCAGCACTTCATAAACAGCTCCATTATAGGGAGTACCCCCTGGGGTGCTACTGAGAGTGACAGAGTTATGCTGCAGTCCATGGGTGTGTTACACTAAGAGTGCTGTCCATTCTTGTCACTGGACCCTTGTTCAGTTTCTTACCCAGTACATTCAACTTGGATCTCGCCACGTCCCAATCAATATACGCTGATTCCAAACATCTACCTACATTCTCTGTCAGAGTGTAACCTGTGCGTCCATGGAGGACACGATCATTATCAAACACAACTATCTCCCCTGGAGACAACTTGTGAACAAACATGTTTCTTGGATCTTTTAGTCGTTTGGTTAAAGAGAAGTAAGCTTCATACATCTCTTGAGTTTTGCTTGCTGGCACGCCCAGAAAACACTGTCTTGTTCCCTCATTATGATTGCAGCGTAATAACCTGCCATGGTGATCCACCCTAAAGAGGTGAATTGATTGGTTTAGTTAACATGCCACAACTCTCTCTTACAGAGGATAAGCCCAGGAGGGGAGGCTTAACTCACTTATTTGGCCTATATGGGTATGTGACGCTGAATAAGATATGGTTTTAAGAGTCCAGAGTCTTAAACAGGGTATACAATTTCACTATTTAGTGTCTTGAACAGGGTGTATTTTCAGACTGGAAGTCTTAAAAAGAGTATGAAGGTTGGTGAAGGTGAGTGAGCAATATTTGTTTCAAACAGGGGCAAGGTTTGAAGGCCTCAGCAGCACACCTCTACCCACAGCATCAAACTTCCATCAAGTACCCCCTAGAGGGAGGTAAGCGCTCATTCTTTTCCACCTTCTAACAGGACTTTTCAAGTACTAGCTGTGAAAGCCTTTTCATTGAGGTACAATGTACATCAGTCCTGTCTCTTGTCTACCACAGGTATACCACAACCACTGGCTGAAGGCAGGTTTTTTCTCAACTTTTTTAAAATGCAAATTGAAATGTTTGAAATAGCCAACTTACTCAAGCAATGGCCTTGCACCTTCAAAGTCATATTCACCAAGTATATCTGCTCCACTATGGCGAAAAAGAACATGGGTTTTGGTAAGAAGATTGTAAGCATGAGGATCTTCTTTCTTTAGTTGCTGAGCCACATGAAATGAGTCCACCAGTGTGTTTGCACCCCCTTCAGTTGGAATTTGCTCCCAGCAAAAGAGGAGTTGTATCTGTATGTTTAAAAAAAAGCACTTTATTTGAGTGTCAAGGTATTTAGCATGAAAGTACTAATTGGGGACACTATTTTTACATCTCCAACGGGAGATGGGACGGCCATTTTACGTGGTCATCCAAGCCACGCGAAGGTCTAGTCATTTGCAGGGCAAAGGGAGTACCTTCATTTCTCACTTATTTTAAGACCATGAGTATTGGTCCGGCCCTGGGAATCGAAACCCCGTGGCCTTCCGCTCTGCAGTCAAGTGCTCTAACAACTGAGCTAATCCTGCCACAAAGTGAAGTTAATGAAGTGCATGACATGACAATTGTAATCCTCTTAAAATTTAGCCTTTCCTTTCATAAGTAGCACATGTGCAAAAAGGATATACCATTAAAATAATACAGTAACTATTATAGTATTACTTCAGGAGCAAGCTGAAGCCATGTCCCTGTAGCTCATCGACATTTAATATTATATATGTGATTATCCTTCTCACTGCTGCAGCTAATCAACCCATCTTTATGTCATTTTTCATCATTTGCTCTGATGCTACCCAAACAGCTAGGGCCTTGTTATAGTCCAATGCTCTCTATAGCTTACCCCTGGTTTGCATTCATAGTAAGGTAGATCTGAGTGAAGAGGCAAAGTATGGCTTGTGTATGCAACACTATTAGCCTTCAGACGTGTAGAAACCAAGATTGTCTTTCTTGGGAAAAGAAAAACAGCAAAAATTAATTTCACAAAACCATATCAGGGATTTCTGAACAATGACAAGGCACAATGGATCTAAGATTTTTTATTGGGTTGGATCTGTCCTTAAAAATAGAAAAAAAGTTTGAATTTGAGGCAAGGAACATATATTTGGGTTAAGGAATGGAAAGATTATGTGGGGTAAGGAAGGGGAAGTATTTCTGGGGTAACAAGGGGAACATAGATCTAGGGTAATAAGGGGAAAGGTATTTGGGTTAAGAAGGGGCTAGGAACATCGTGTATCTGAAGAAAGAAAGGGATGTCTTACTGGGAGTGTATCTTGGGTCAAAATCCGGGGAGGTACTCCCTTACAAGATGTGGGGTCGCATTTTCTCAACTGGATTGACTATAATGTGTTCGCATTTTCAATAGAGTTTACTAGAATGGGGTCGAACATTTTCGGATTTTTGGAGTAAGTAGGGATTCAAAATGGGAAGATTCTCCTCGTGAAACGTCCCTCAGCGGCGATGAGCAAGGAGAAACATCTGCCGTTCGCAGGCTAGAATTTTAATTAAAAGGGAAGTGTACCTAAGTTGGACAAGGACAAAAGATGTATCTGGGATAAGATGCGGACGCTGTATCTAGGGTAAGGAGGGGAAGTGTATTAAGGGTAAGAAGGAGGAAATGAATCTGAGAAAGCTCACACAAGCCCCAAGAACCCCCCAGATCCACCCCTCCCAGTCCATTTCTATTAGACATGACAGCTCAGGGTTAGGGTTGCCCAGGTTTCGTGGTTCAACGCTAATCCCAGGATAACAGCTTCCTTCTTCCAGTTTTTGAACCAAATCAAAATGGCATTTTTTGTATCCACTTTTCTACCACATCCTCAGTATTGAGGACTAAATTCAACAACTTGTGAAAAAATTCAAGTATTTTTCAACGAGTCCTTCTAAAATTCAAGACTGAAATACTAGAAATACGTATCTCGCAATAAGCCTCGCGAAACTCGGTTTGGTAATGGCACTCAAGTTAAGCCCTGCTGGTCGGGGTTAAGAACTGGATGGGTGACCAACCGCAAATATCGTCTTAAAGGTCCATACCTTGTTCTTTCTTTTCTTCTTCTTCTTTTTTGCGTATTATGTGGTGTTATTGTTAACAGTGTATTGAAAAGCAGATTTAGCATTATTTCGGCGCCCGGATTTAGAAAAAGACAAAAACAAAGAACAAATACACTGTGTGATCATAAACCTTGCTTACCCATAAGCTGTCATTCTCAAGTAACCCACAAGATTGCCCAGTTTTTCTAGTTGCCCTTCTTGTACAGGAGTGTCAGTCACAAGAGCAATGCCATATCTATATAAACTGTTCAGCCAGTTAAATTGTACTTCCTCATCATTCAGAATGTCCTCAAATTTCATATGAGGGACATGATCTTTGAATTCCCTACCCCAAAGGGTAACTTTCCTTGTTGTCACCTCTTCACAGCTCTTAGTTTCTGATTCCTTTTCTTCTGAAAGACGCTTTTGAAAAAGCCACTCAGCATCAAGAAGACTGATATGACCATCAGGCCAAATGATTGACAGTTTACTTTGGTCATCGCTAATCTCAACTTTGTTCGGTTGAACATTAATGTCCACATCCTTTACAATATCAAGAAGGCGTTGACTAGATTCTTCAAAGAAGCATTCTGTGCACTGGCAGTTGTCTCGTAGATAGATGTAAGGATATCTGTTTGATGTCCCATTCTGCCACGTGATGCTCACCATTTTCTGTTCTGGTGAATGTTCAACACTTTTCATCAGCAACTTGTTAAGAAGGAAAGATGCTGTTCCCAAGCCACGATGTTGGACTCTTGTGAGTGTATTCGACAATCGCAAATATGCCAAGCCTGTTCTCCACATTGAAATCATTCTGAAAGCTTACAAAAGAGAAATGATTTCATTAATTTTGTAAAAATAATATTATATAAAAAATGGATCATTGGATAATGCAATTCTAGAGTTTTGATTGGCTTAGCCATCACGGTATTACTATATGAGACATTATGCTAAAAATAGAATAAAATTCAGAATCCCTTGATTACCGTCACGCAATACGTGACAGCTGTCTCTCCTTGTGTGACGGTGAGCAGTGTGACAGAGGAATACGTTATTCCGCACTGTTAATACCAAAATGGAGATTTACCATCAACGTGAAAGTCATGTGCATCAGATAATAAAACAGCTGGGTCATGCTGGGGTCATGCTACGGTATAATTTTGGATCGAACTGTCCGAAAAGTTGCATGAAGCTCTTCATTATCACACTTTTAGAATATAAAAAAGATTTTTCTAGCTTTTTCTGAGTGATTTCTTTTTCTCTCAATATTCTATAAAACTCGTCGATCAAAGGCATATCTTTTTATAATTATTGCACTTTTTTACTCAGTCAGTATACTGTACGTATGCTATGTTATTTTTCAATGCATGACATGCTGATAATAGATATTTATTGGCCCATATAAACTAACAGTAATATGAAAGCGTTACTAGCAATAATAAGTACAATCGATTACGCACAAAAATGGCCTACACTAACCTTTTTTGATGACAAATTTTGCGCACGAAGATAGATGGCAAAGGATAGGCACTGAACGTGCTGTGCATTCCGTGTGGACTGTAACTGTGGATAATAGAATTATCCATGCTGTAACCTGGGAAGCCGGGGAAGACTGAGGACAAGTCCACTCCAAGTATTTTGTTTTGTTTGTTTGTTTGTTTGTTTTTGTTTATGTATTTTTCGTTTGTGCTTCGTAGCGGATAAATTAAGAGGTCAAAGGAGGAAACAGTGAGAGAGGGAGCGAGAGATAGACCACTGCAGAGACTGAACAGAGTTCATTCTGACCTATTCTCTCTGCTTGTATCCCCTCGCCCCCTCCCCCACCGTTTACTCGTTTGACCACCGTTTAGCTTTCGCGAGGCTTTGTCTCTTCAAGAATTACAAGAAATGTATTAACTGATGGTCCATACCGCTCAGATAGGAATAATAGGGACGTCCTTAGACATTTTCTGACAGCAAACCTTGATGGTTGTGATTATCATTCAGTTCCGAGTGTATGGAAGGCGCTTACATCTAGGAGGTCCTTTCTTTCCGGTCAAAATCTTTCTTTTCTACGTTGTCACTTTCAGACTTGTGAACCGTTGAAATGAAACTTAACAAAACTAGTTATACAGAATAACCTGCTCCGTTTAAAAGTGATTACATTGTTTTTCACCTCAGTTTGTTTACCGCTATGCTTCTTGTCAAAAGTGACTTGAGAGGCCGGCCTTGTTTGCCGTCAAAGCGCAGGGACGGCAGGCTCGCCCCAAAAAACCGGAGCATGCTTAGCTGCTGGCTTCGAGGCAGCTGACGCCAGTGACGCACCGGACTTTATTGTATCCCTCGCTTGATGGTTTGAGTTGCAATGCTGTCTATGAAAGACTGAAAAAACCTTGTGGGACCTAAAGGACTTGGAAACAATTTTAAGGGTTTTATTTATTAATGTTCAGTTTTATTAAATCACTTCATTTTCATTTAAGTCAGTTGGGCCGACAAGAATCCGCCGATAATAAAGAACCTATCACTGAAAGTAAGTACGCTAATGGTGTGCCTTCTGGGACGAACGCAACGTACAACTGTGAGAAGATGAAATTTGATTATCACTTTGATTATTGCAACATTGTTTGGGGAAACTGTGGGATAACTTTACGGAATAAGGTTCAAAAGCTACAAAACAGAGCAGCCCGTGTTTTGGCCTACTCAAGCTATGACGTAGATGCTGGTCACCTTTTCAAACTTCTAGGGTGGAAAAACCTACCTTGCCAGCAACAAATTCAAAGAGCTACGATGGTTTACAGGTCTCTGCACGGGTTGGCTCCAAACTATCTTAGTTCTAAATTTGAAAGGCGAGAAGTCGCACATAACCTAAGGGACTCTGAAAATAAACTCAATGTTCCATTACCGCGCACAAACTATTACAAAAACAGCTTCAGCTATAGTGGCGCCATTCTCTGGAACAGTCTCCCCTTGGGCAATTTAAACGATTACTCAAAGAACTGTAAGGCACGGCATTCGTGGAAAGCAGCTTTTTTATTTAAATATTTTTATTATATTAGTATGTGAAAAGATGATTACCAAATTCGACTATGTTATCTACTTTTATCGCCTTTTCTTTATCGTTATCCAACCAAATAAGGGCCTGACCACCAATGCGCTGAGCTGCTCGCAAAATAATGATCACAGATCTACTAGTAAAATGACCCGATACAGATTCTGAATTCCATGTTACTGTCTTTACTTCACCATCCTCGCTAAAGATTTTTTCTCAACATGCCGTTGCACTGAGGCGGTGGTGTTTCAACGAACGAATCGTAGGAAAGAAAGCCTCTGTTTTCTTCAATGCGCATGTCTAGGTTTGGATGTTGCGCATGCTTATTGCAAGCGTTAGGTGTCAGCGCTATCCAACATTGTGGATTGATCTATGTCTCCGTATCACTTACTTTGTAAATAGGAGCGGGTAGCAGAGAGGACCGTACTTTGTGATCAAAATCCTTCTTATCGCAAGCTTGTTTTCCCTAAAGTTGAAGACAAAAACATCTCTAAAGTAATTGATCATCAAGAGTCCAACCTGTGCATGTCTCAATGCTCCCGCGTGATACAGGTTTAAAGCAATCACCATTCTCGTCCCCAGAGCCCGTCGTTTCTTGGTCACGTGGTCAGGAAACGAGGGGTCGGTCGGTAACAAATTAAGCCGAGTGGCTCTGGGGACGAGAATGAGCAATCACTCGACTGACCTCTGCGATTTCCCCGTCAACTTCATAACCTTCGTCAGTTGTCCTTTCACATAACAGATCTTTTACACAGAAAGCAGTACGATTGTATGCCTATGTGCAACGTCAAGCTGTCCCTGATAATCTTCAAGATCCGTACAATAATCTGGGTTTTTCAGTTCTTTACTGATGTGCCGGTCTTTTCCTAAGCCGGACACAAAATATTGACAAAGACCCAATATTTGAGCCTGGGATGTGATCAAGGATCTGCCTTATTAGTTTCTCCAGTGG